CTCCCCGGTTGGTCGCCCTTTCTTAACTGTGGTCCGCCCCCCTCAGGACACCTGACCTACACTGGGGAGGAGGACTCCTTCGGCCCCACCGGCCCTGCTGTCCCTGCTGTCTCCTCCACCACCTCCCTGCTCCCGCCTGCCTCCGTCCCCTCCCAGTCCCCTCTGGCTCTGTCTTGGCCTCAGCCTCTGTCCCTCTCTCTGCTTCTTAAGAAACTCCGGGCACCCCTGCTTCCCCTTTCACCCGCCCCTGTGGCTGGCCTGCATCACATGGTCCTGCCTGGGTGCTTAGGAGAAGTGAAAGCCTGGGTCACAGGGCCCCTGTCTGCCCAGCTTTCTAAAAACGTCCCATCCTCCCCCGCCTATGACCCCCACCCGCACCGCTTCCAGCCTCCCTGGAGCTTGCAGGAATATTTTCTTTCACTTTCGTTTCTTGCCAGGATCCCACTTGTGCTGCGTTCTCTTCCAGTCAAAATCCAGGGCTAGACGGATGGAACTGGAAAGGTCATCTGCACAGCACGCTTCACAGAGGGGAGACTGAGACCTGGGGGAGGCCGGGAGAAGGGAGGTAGGGGGTGTTGGATACAGGGTAGGTGAACTAGGGGTAAACCACTGAGTGACAGGGGAAACTCACAATGCAGTTCAGATTGTGCAAATGCTATGTGGGGAAGGAAGTCGGGGTGCCTTCAAGAGGCCCGCGGTACCACAGAGGACCCACAAGTGAGGGGAGACTGAGAGGGAAGCTGACCTCAGAGTAAATCACAGCCGGGCTTCAGCACTCCCCTGACAGACTGAAAAACAAGAGCCAGCCTTCACCTTGATCTCCAAGCCCCTGGGCCCTGCCCTCTTCCCACCTCATCTCAGCCCCGAGTTCCCTCAGGTCCAGACAACCTCCTTTCTGTTCTCCTCGCACGCTGAGATCCTTCCCTACCTCTGTCTTTGCTGTCCCCGCTGCCAGAACTGCTCTTCCTCCAAGGTCTTTGCATGGCTTTCTCCTTACTTAGGTTTCAGCTGAAATGTCTCCCCTTCAAAGGGACCTTTTCTGATCATCCTATCTAAGCAGTCGCCTACTGGATTCTCAGCATCCTCTCTGTCACCTTGTCCCGTTTTACTGTCTTCAGAGCATATACTTCTCATTCAATTACTGGTTTATTGTCTCCCACAGTAGAAGAGACCTTCCATCATCAGGTCAAGGACCTTTTCTAACTTTTTACTGTTCTGTTTCCAGTGACTGCTCAGTGCTTGACAAACAGTTGGTGCTCAGTAAGTATTGGTTGAGTCAATGAATGGAAAGAACGTCCCAAGACAATATTTGGAAGGACAGCATCAGCAAAGTTAAAAGCTAAGATAAACTGAGTCTTGTAAAAGCTGTAGAAACCACAAAAAAATTGGGTTTTTTAACATTTTTATAGTGGGTGGGACAAGGCTGTGGAGGTAGGTGTAAGACTGGAAGGTGATGGGGAGAAAGCAGAGCTGTCCACCCCAGATCCTGTTTCAGTCACTGTAGTCAGGGACAAAGTGCTGTGGATGAGGCAGGCAGAGACTGGAGAAGATGCTTTGGTTGAGCTGCCTCTGCCTCTACTTGGTGGAAGCTCAGGATCACCAGCCACAATGGTGTGGCTGTGAAGTGGCAGGTCATGGCAGACCCAGCTCCTTCCTCTGTTGGTAAGTTCACTAGGCTGGCAGATATGACCGATGCCATCCCAGAGGGCTGAGCCTTATAAAGGAGAGGGCTGACCTGCCATCAGTGATCTTCAGGGGTAGTGGATGAAAGGAAAAGCTTCTAAAAACTGTGGCCTGCAGAGAACGAGGAGAGGAAAGCAGCAAAGGAAGACAAGAGAAGTGCATTTCTCCTTTTCTGCCCATGCTCCATCCCTAAGGTAGGTGGGGGGGC